AATCTTTATTAGAGCAAGTACAGCAGGAATGCAATGAATCGCAGTGTCAGGTAAAACATGAATGACTGACCATCCAGTATCTAAGATGGCCGCTGGGCCTCCACGTGGCACCGGTGGCGTGACGTCACGACGTCCTGGGCTCCAACTAATGCGTTTCTTGCGCACGCACTTCTTCAGAGGTAGAGACTAAATAAATGTGCGTTTTTGTGTTTTTTTTTATTTTTTTTTTAAAGTGATATAGCTGCACTATGGCATCTTTTTCAGTCAGCCACTAAACTCACTCACTGCTTGGTCTGGGTATCTAATTAAAGGAGAAGTTCATTTTTGGAACATGTTCCATGTTTGTTTAGGCTGGAACACGTAACATGCTCCAGCCCCTGCTGCTTCTCAGCATTCTGCTGAAAGCCCTTGGCCAGCCCCCCCCCCCCCCCACACACAGACCAGCACTCCAGTGAACGCTAGAAGGGCAGAACAGATAGTCTTCAGTGAGTGTGTCAGTCACCAGCTCTCTGCTCACTGAAGACCGAGAACTGAGCGATCAGCATTCTTTGATCACTCAGTTCTCAGTCCTAGAGGCAGCAGGGAGCAGATGCAGCTCGGAGTGATGCTGAATCCACATCCAAATGAGTATCGTGTTTTTTTTTTTTTTTTTTTTTAATCACTCACTTCTCTTTTAAATACATGAGAATGAACTATTTTTACTTGCCGGATGATACCTAAAGTCATGCACGTGTTCTTGTGATGTTACAACAGATCCACTGCCCATCCTCCAGCTTTTTGGAATGTTCCTAAACATGTGCCTGAACTCTCTCAATCCCAAGCAACTTCCTCCTTCCCCATCTATTATTTTGTAGATGTGCCACTCTCATTCCAAACCTGATTGCCTCTGTAAAGTCAGATTTTGGGTAATTTTGTCCTTTTTTTAAAATATAAATTGTTGAAGATTTGTTGTTTATAGAGCACAACAGTTTTTCAGAGCGGTTGGTTAGAAATAGATTAGAGAGATTTATCATTTTTATGTATTTTAGTAGTTTTATATCTGCTTTTATCATCGATTCTCACTCTTTCTGCGATCTGCATCTTCTTTTCTCAGACCCAACAGTCCAAGTTTGTGAATTGGCAAGTAGACACGGAATACAGAGGAGAAGACTTTACAGCTGCTATGACATTGGGCAACCCAGACGTAATAGTGGGATCTGGTAAGAATATCCGTAAAAAAGAGACATTGAGAGCAAAGTGTTCTGCTCAATTCTCTGAGCTTCACCGGTTTACATATACGCAGATTGGATGCGATTTAACCCGCGTCCAATCCGCATGACATCTGAAAAAATGATGCTTCCTATGGTGCCAGCAGGGGCGGACTGACTATTTGGAAACTCGGGCACTGCCCGAGGGCCCGGGGTCAGTAGGGGGCCCCATGAGATGCCCCTGGTACCTTTTTCATAGGCTTTTTTGAGTTTGCGCAAGGACACAGGGACCCCATGATCCCCTATTGCCCGGGGGCCCCATGAGTTGTCAGTCCGCCCCTGGGTGCCAGTTCACATATATCCGGTGCACTGGCGGTGCGGATTCAGTGCGCTCTGAAAAAGAACCGTGTATGATTTCTGAGCAGTGCCTTCAGGTTCAGGTGCAGATTACAGGCTATTGACTTCTATGGGAACCGTTTCTAAACTGCATGTGTGAGAACAAGATAAGATCCTGAGCTAATCCTGTCCGGAACCTGATGTAAACCTGACATGAACCGCTGAACAACTACTGTATCAATTAGCTGTGAAACCTGAGCTTCAATCCGCAACTTATCTTTCAATGGGCTATTCATTTTTATTTTATTTTTGATTGTAGGCTTTAAGATTTTATTTACTGCAGCAGCACAGAGACTAACAAAATATTAGAAAAAGAAAATCAATTTTTTGCCATACTAGATTTGAAAGACCAGTGGATGCCAGTGGCACAGGATATGATTGATTTTTCATTTTGGATAGAGTAATGCAGGCCATAGATGGGTCGAAAATCGGCCGATTTTTCGGCTGAAAATAAAATCGGCCGATTTTCGGATCGTTAGTGGGCGATTTGGTCGGCCGTTTTTTTTTATTTTGGCCGTTTTTTTTTTTCGGTAAAGTTGGAAAAAAATCGGCCGATTTTGCCGATGTGCCGATTTTCGCGGCAATTAGTGGGCAAATCGGCCGATTTTTTTACCGATATACACCTTCTGCGTATGAGCAGTGCTGCAAGAGGAAGAAGAAGAAGAGGATGAAGAGGATGAGGGAAGAAGAAGAGGATGAGGAAGAAGAAGAGGATGAGGAAGAAGAAGAGGATGAGGAAGAAGAAGAGGATGAGGAAGAAGAAGAGGATGAGGAAGAAGAAGAAGAGGATGATGAGGATGAAGAGGATGATGAGGCACCCCAGGATGAAGATGAGGATGAAGAAGCTAGGATGAAGAAGAAGAGGATGATGAAGAGGATGAAGAAGAAGAGGATGATGAAGAGGATGAGGATGAGGATGATGATGAAGAAGAAGGAGGATGAGGATGATGAAGAAGAAGAAGAGGATGATGATGATGAAGAAGAAGAAGAGGATGAGGATGATGAAGGACTGAGGATGATGAAGAAGAGGATGAGGATGATGAAGAAGAAGAAGAGGATGATGAAGAAGAAGAAGAGGATTGAAGAAGAAGAAGAGGTATGAGGATGATGAAGAAGAAGAAGAGGATGAGGATGATGAAGAAGAGGAGGATGGGATGATGAAGAAGAATAGGATAAGGATGATGAAGAAGAAGAGGATGAGGATTGAAGAAGAAGAAGTAGGATGAAAATAAGAGCATTCCAGTCCAGCAAAAGTGTCTCTGCAGAGAGCTCCGCTTTTTCTGACAGTTATCTATTGAAAATGTTCCTTGTACATTTACAGCGGTTGAAACATTGTATCTATTTGTTTCGAATAAAAACATCTGTATCCTAATGGAAACAAATAGTATACATTGTTGCAATAAATGGCAAGGAACTGTCAGAGAACTGTCAAAGAAATAGCAGAGCTCTCTGCAGGGACACTTTTTTGCCGGATCTAGACGGGTAAATCGGCCGTGTGATGGTAACGTCGGCCACTTGAACAACCGATTTTTCGTTTTTTAAAAGAAAAATCTGCAGCATTATGGCCGCATAAGGGAGGGTTATAACCCCTGTCAGTTTATTTTTTGCATCTGTGCCCATTGGGGAGATACACCTTCACTTCCTGCTCCATAGCTAAAACGGAAATCACTGCAAATTAAGGGACTTCTTGGGGCACCCCAGGTCACCACAGCTAGGGCCCCCATTTGGAAGATCCCCTTCTATTATTTTTCTGGGGACTACCCAAAATTTGTAATTTTTTTACTTTCAATGATAACGGTAAATAAAGGGGGAATCTCCTTAACCGCTTTCTGTCTGCCCTATAGCAGTAATACTGCTACATGGCAGCAACGGGTGGGCAAAATCACGTGTTAATATATACGTGATTTAGCATTTCCGGTTAGGGAGCGCGCGCATGCGTGCCCTACCCGCGCCACTATTAGCGGCCTCAGCTGTCAATGGGCGGGTCCCGGACGGTAATTACTCGCCGACACCCGGTGATCCAGGAGCATTATCAATGGAGGGAGAGAACTGTGTAAACAATACAGTTATCTCCCCTGTCAGCTCCTGCACACTGCTTTGCATGGCTTTGCATAGCAGAGCCATGCAAAGCAGTGTGCTTACAATGAAGCACACAGTTAACTCCTTGATCGCCCCACATGTTAACCCCTTCCTTCCCAGTGCCATTAGTACAGTGTCAGTGCTTTTTATTAGCACTGATCACTGTATTGGTGTCAGTGACATCATGTCGGTTGCCCGCCGCAGTCCTGCTATATAAGTGGCTGATTGCCGCCATTACTAGTATGAAAAAAAAAAATCCAGTATCTATACCGCCATTTGTTAAATCCTATAACTCTCACGTAAACCAATTAATTTACACATATTGAGATTTTTGTTTAAAGATGTGTAGCAGAATACATTTCAACCTAAATTTATGACAAAATTTATTTATTTTTTTTTAAATATTTACTGGACATGTTTAACTAATTCAATACCGGGGAATTTTACACTTCCTGCCCAGGCCAGTTTTCAGGTTTCAGCGCTCTCACACTTTGAATGACAATTGCGCGGTCATACAACACTGTACCCAAACTAAAATTTTATCATTTTCTTCACACAACTAGAGCTTTCTTTTGGTGGTATTTAATCACCGCTGGGGTTTTTATTTTTTGCTAAATTAACAAAAAATGACCAAAAATTTTGAAAAAAAAACACATTTTTTCTTTGTTTCTGTTATAAAAGTTTACGAATATATAATTGTTCTTCATAAATTTAGGCCGAGATGTATTCTGCTACATGTCTTTGGTGAAATATAACCCAAATTAGGATGTATTATTTAGTTTGTAGGAAAGTTATAGAGTTCACAAACTATGGGATAGATCTGAAAATTGATCAATCCTGAAGTACTGACAGCCAATCTCATTTCTTGAGGTCCAAGAATGTCAGAACAGTACAGATATCCCCCAAATGACCCCTTTTTCAGAGTAGACAGTCCGACGTACTTCATAAGAGGAATGGCGAGTTTTTTGAAGTTGTATTTTTTTTGTCATTTTTCGGAAAATGAAAAAATTTAAAACAAATTATTTTCACTATTTTTTTTTTTACATACTGTCACCAGTGCAGTACAGCCTCATCATATAACTGGCATGGCGGTGAACAGGGACACTGACTGGTGACAGTATGAAAAAAAAAAAAAAAAAATATATATATATATATATATATTTATATATATATATATTTATATATTATATTTTTATATATATTTTTTTTTTTTTTTTTAATTTTTTATTACATTTTTTTTATTTTTTTTTAAGATTTTTTTTTTTCATATTTTACTATGACCAAAGTAGTACAATGTTACCATAGTAACATTGTACTACTTTGGGGAAGTGATCAGTATTTTTTTTTTTACACAATTTGCTTATAGCAAAGAATTACTTTGCTATAAGCAAGCATTTACCTGAATGAAATCGATTCATTCACGTTTTTTTTTTTTTTTTTTTTTTTTTTGTGCTTAGCTGTGATTTGGCCACAGCTAATCACATGACATGTGCATGTGATTAGCTGTGACCATTCACAGCTAGGCACTAGTATACAATGGATGGCATGAATGAAGCCATCCATTGTATACAACTGTCATGTGACCTGCTGTGATTGGTCACAGCAGGTCACATGGTACCAGTAACGGGGGCCGGTACTCAGATCTGTCATCGGCCGTGTCCGAGGTACACGGCTGGTGACAGATCGCGCTGCTGCGCGGCTCTGCATTAGCGCAAACTGCGCATGTGCAGGAGCACGCCAAATGGCGTGCACCCGGAATGCCGAAGCACTTTTGAATCCGCCAAACGGCCATTGGCCTGGCGGCTAATGGTTAATAGCAAAATGTAAAAAATATTGTTTTTTTACTCAAAATTGTTTGGTCTTTTTTTTTTATTGCGCTAAAGATAAAAAATGCAGAGGAAATTAAATACCACTGAAAGAAAGCTCTGTTCGTGGGTAATAAAAGGACGTAAGTTTCATTTCGGTGCAGTGTTGCATGACTGCGCAATTGCAATTAAAGGAACGCAGTGCCATAATGCAAATAATGGCCTGGTCAGGAAGGGGGGTAAATCCTCTGGAGGGCAAGTGGTTAATGGGGGCACAGATGGCAGTAAAAAACTTACAGGGGTTCTAATTCATCTCCACTCCATCCAAACGTTTAAAAAGTTTTGCCTTTTTATACTTTAAATGTTACCAGCAAACACTTGAATGATCAGCACACAGCAAAAATATTCTCATTCACAAACTAACATTACTTATGCATGTCAAATCGTATCAAATACATTGTGCATTTATATTATAAAGTGAATGTTCATTATCTTCCATAACATTACTCATCATATTATTATAGAATTCCAAGTGTTTCAGCAGTGTAAATATGCTTTGTCTCTAGGTATTGTGGTTGCACACTATCTACAGAGCATCACACCCAATCTAGCAATGGGAGGAGAACTTGTATATCACCGGCGTCCTGGGGAGGAGGGAACAGTGATGTCATTAGCAGGAAGATACACAGGTAAAAAGACATCTTCTGCAATGAAAGGCTGCCTGCCTGCATTTTTGTTTTTTTAAATTTACATTTCATCTCCACTTTAAAGTTTGTGTGTATGTATGTATGTATGACTTGACTACTGCAACTCCCTCCTCACTTGCCTGCCTCGCCGCTGGCTATCCCCGCTTCAGTCCATCCTGAATACGGCTGCCAGACTCATTCACCTTTCCAACCGCTCCATCTCCGCCACCCCCCTCTGCCAATCCCTCCACTGGCTTCCGATCACCCAACGGATCAAATTCAAAATCCTAACACTGACGTACAAAGCCATCCACCATACTGCCCCGAACTACATCACCGACCTAATATCCAAGTACCACCCAACACGCACACTCCGCTCCTCACAAGACCACCTTCTCTCTAGTTCCCTGGTCTCCTCCTCCCATGCCCGCCTCCAGGACTTCTCCAGGGTGTCACCCATCCTCTGGAACTCCCTGCCCCAACCCATCAGATTATCACCTACTCTCCTCTCCTTTAGGCGCACCCTGAAAACCCATCTCTTCAGGGAAGCCTACCCCACCCCCCTGCTAACTTGCCTACCTCCTCCACTCTTCCTACCACTCCATCCCCCACAGCTATCTCCTCCTGTGCCACCAGGGCCCCCCTCCCTCCTAGATTGTAAGCTCAAAAGAGCAGGGCCCTCGATCCCCTCATGTTTTGCATTGTATTGGTATTGTTCTGTCGCATGTTCTGTCCCCCTTTGTAATCTACAGCGCTGAGCGAACCATTGGCGCTTTATAAATACTGTATAATAATAATAATTATCTATATCTATCTATCTCTATCTATCTATATCTATCTATCTATATCTATCTATATCTATCTATCTATCTATCTATATCTATCTCTCTATCTATATCTATCTCTCTATCTATATATATCGTACCTCGGTTTACGAATTTATTTCTTTCTGCGGGACTTTTTGTATTGCGAAAACTTTGTAAACCGAAATGCGGTTTCCCAAAGGAATGCATTGAAAACCAATTAATCCGTGCCACGATTGTAGTGTGATTTTGAACCAGAGCGATTCTGCGTGCAATTCCAAATATCCAAGTGTGAATACAGCCTTAGAATGCTTATGTTAGTACATTAAATAATATGAGAAGTAGGGGAGCTTGTTAAAGAGATCCTGATTTAGTGATGTCTTCTGGAGGGAACACCTCTAAGGAGAACACTGGTATAATGCCATATGTCCATGCATATAAATTGCTACTATGCTTGGCTTTAATAATGTGTATCTTCTTTTTTTATTGATTAATGTTTTGTGATTTCTTTACAGCTCCAAATTGGACAGCGACATTAACGCTAGGTCAAGCTGGAGCACATGCAACATATTACCATAAAGCGAATGATCAGGTACTTTAGATGTATTTGAATCGTGTATCAGTAGAATCTCGGATAAGGTATTAATAGATGCAGTTGGCAACCTCTGGCAGGTGTAGAAGGATGTGGCTGGGAGATGCTTGTTGTGATGTTAGTGTGGTTTCAAAATCATGTTCTGTTCCCTTAAAGTGACATTAAATGATATCCATATTCTTAATAAAAACAGAAAACATACACATTTACTACTTTATTGCCTTGTAATCCAGTTTTCATTAAATAATTCCTTATTTTGTTATTCTCCCTTTTTGTAATGTCCCCCCTGAGCTCCCTTTCCTTTTTCCCTCTCACTTCCATTTGCTTGGAACAAGCAGTACACATTAGTTGCGGTCATGTGTACTGCTCTATGCACACTACAAATTTTATAATCACAAGTCCATATCAGAAGAGAGGGTGGCTATGTTCCTACATCAGGGATGTTGAATTCACATCACCTGATGCCAGGGACATGTAGTTCTGGGCGCTGGGAAGGTTGTTTTTCTCCACCTTTAGCCCTGCTGTGGGCAAGCAGCAGGGCTCACCTGTCAGGTGGAAGCATTCGGGCGGCATTATACACAATGCCAACCTTTAACCCTACCCCACCTACCCCTTTTCTGTTCCTCTGCTCATGCATACATTGGTTTCTTTACTAGAGGAAAAACAATGCTACTGCCTTGGCATCCAGAAGCCTACTCACGCACTGCGCGTGAGGAAGGAGCTCTTGGGGAATGTAGCACTGGAGGATGTGCCTACGTCAATATGATCTTAGCTGCTGCTCCTGCAAATTTTGTAAGCCTGTTGTCACTGGGAGTAATAAAAGAAGTTTCTTGTTACATGAACAAAGGTGAACAACCACACCCTGAAGGTAGAGGGCTCTAAACGTAGGTATCACTTGGTACAGTGATCTGATCCGCATAGCTGCAGTCTGCCATAAACTTCGACAGGATGCCGCAGCGGGGCTGGATGCCGCAGCGGGGCTGGATGCCGCAGGGGGGCTGGATGCCGCAGCGGAGCTGGATGCTTCAGCTATCTCTCCTGGCTGCACTAAAATGCTGGGAGGATGATGACCCGGTGTGCAAGGGGCCTTACAGCAAAGCAATGAGCATTTTCCAAAAACAGGCCTGCAATGGCAGCCTCTATTTTCTTCTCTTGGCAGTTTTAAATAATGCAGCTAGAAAGTTAGAATAATAACTTTCAGGTTCATTGCTGTGGAAGTCTTCGCATTTGGCAGTGGAAATTTTAGCAATAGGTTTTGTAAGGTGTGAACGGTGTGTCCCTATCTAAGCCTAGTATAAAAATGTACCTTACCCCCATTACTGTGCAGTGTTCCCGCTAAACGTTTTGTTTCATTTCATCAGCTTCAAGTAGGAGTGGAGTTTGAAGCCAGCACCAGGATGCAGGACACAAGTGTCTCCTTCGGTTACCAGCTGGACCTCCCCAAAGCTAACCTACTGTTTAAAGGTATGAACAATTGGAATTTAAGCCCGTAGAGGGTGATATGACTAAAATTGGTGTTATGCCGTGTTTTTTTTTTTTTTTCTTTTTTCTTTTTTTTTTTTCCTTTAATAAGACTTCCTCAGTTAGACTACATTACTGAGCCCACACTGGCCCATATTAGATATCAGACTTTAATTTGAAGGCATATTCCAAGTTTTATTTAACAAAAAAAGAAAGTAAAGCACCTATATTGAAAAAATAAAAAATGTGCAGTTATTAATCTTTTTCATTGGACCCTTCAAAGCATTCCAGTCAGGATCAGTGCATAGCAGGGGCAATGCACAGGCTCCTGCAGACTAGTCCTCCAGCCTCAAGTCCATACAGTTGAGTTTTGGAGCTGGATGGAGTGTTGGTGAACTACAAGTGCACTGATGTCACCACACTTGTGCCCCATTGCAAACTACAAGTCCTCTGTCATGGTGGAGATGGGACTTGAGTCTTCCATTCACAGGTCCATCTGTATGAATAGATGATGTGGCTGTGCGGGCGGAGCCATGTACAGCCAGAACAAATTCATAAAAATACAAAATGCTGCAGGACCCTGTCATTCGAGTAAGGGGAGAGGGACAGGCAGTTTGAGGGTGGGGGGGCTGCAGAATGGCACTAAACTATGGTACTTGCTACAGTTTTACTCTCACGGAGTACTCTGCCTTGGAACCATAGGTCACTTGGCTACCATTCAGAGAAGGACATTTCACATCAGTAGGCGGAGTAATACAGCGCCCGCTACATTGCTCCAACTAGGAATACTCAGCCACAATGAGATTGAGGTTAAGCACCTACCTTATTGCCTCACGTTAGTATGAGATCTATGTAGGTGGGACCAAGCTCTTGTATCACAGGCATAGAGTTCCGCAGGTCATACAAGTGTGCACATTTTCTACCAGGCCTGTAGATCTATACCTGTCATTATGCTATCTGGCCCTAATTGAGACTATCATTGGACTTTAGTAGCGGGCCATTGGGGGCTTTTTCCATCCATCCAACATCCTAAGGAGAGGGGATCCAAGTTTATAGGAGGGAGGTGTGGACAGGTTGGGGTTTTGGGCCTTTTGGAGTGGGGTTTGGGTCAGCTTCTTAAAGTGGTTCTAAAGGCTCAAGGTTTTTTTACCTTCATGTGCATGAAGGAAAACAAACCTCTGTTCAGCTTCCACCCCCCAACTCCTTTTTAATCACCTAAGCCCCCTCTCGATCCAGAGATGTGCACTGAAGTCTCAGCTATCCCAGGACTTCCTCTTCTCATTGGCTGAGACAGAATCGGGAGCCAGTGCTATTAATCACAGCCAATGAGAAGGGGCAGGTGGGACCAAGCCGCGGCTCTGTGTGTGAATGAATACACGGAGCAGCATTTGCCCCCATAGCACGCTGCTTGCTGTAGGGGCACCCGACAGGAGTGGGACCCGAAAAGAGGAGGATCCGGGCTGCTGTGTGCAAAACCATTACACACAGCAGGTAAGTATAGACATGTTTATTAAAACAAAGAAGAAAAAAAAAAAAGAAGCCTTTAGAATCACCGCTTTTTGTAGCCTTAGAGGTGCTTTATCCTTGTGGTGTTTGTTTTGATATAACATGAAACATGCCCAGGTGGAATTGGCCTTTAAAGCTGAACTTCAAGAATTCAGCCACATTGTAAAATATGCTGGGTTATTATGGGTTAAGTCCAACGAGCTGCATGCCTCATTTACATTTTTTCGGAGACTCAGAAGCATAGCTATGCAGCCACTGTGCCCGCCCCTCTCCTCCTCCTGCCCAATCACAGAGCACTTTGCATTATGTGAACCTATTCACAAAATGCAAAGCCTTCTGTGAATACACATCAGAGGGGATGGAGCGGACAGAGATGCTGCTGTATGAGAAGACATCGTCTCTCCTGCCAGAGCCACGGGAGTGTTGTGATAGCTGTACTCCTGGCACTCGATAAAACTGTCAGTTGTAAAGAAAGATGGCATGCCTCTCATTGGACCTAAATCATAGTAAGCCAGCACATTTTATAAAGTAATTGAACACCTGAATGTTCAGTTTTAACACCTAAAACAAAGTATAAAAAAGTGCTTTTTAGGGAAGTTTAAAAATGATCCAAATAGAAAATGAAATGTATATTCATGGTGTTTCCGAAGGTATTCATTTTTTTTGTTTTGAATGCAATTAATCTTGTATCATATATAAATAGTAGCAAGCGAATAGCCCGAGCACTGACAGAATGCTTGCTTAGTGTGCTTTTGAGATGTTTCATGCTGGGATTGCCAGCCCAACCTACCGATTGGCTGTGAAAATCCACATGAAAAAGATATTGGGGGAGATTTACTAAAAGTGGAGAGTGCAAAATCTGGTGCAGCTGTGCATAGAAACCAATCAGGTTCCAAGATTTATTGCCAAAGCTTCCATCTAGCAGATCGGATCGGATGACAGTCGGGTGTAAACAGACAGGCGGTCTGTTTACATTCAACCGCTCATACAGGAAAGGGGGATGTGCCTGCTCTGCAGAAGCATGGACCTGTCATCCACCTGCTCAGCTCCCCCATGTGAAAGGGGCCTTAGATTGTACACCCCTTGAGGACATGGGGGTCGAATTACTAAAACTGGAGGGTGAAAAATCTGGTGTAGCTCTGCACAGCAACCAATCGGCTTCCAGGTTTTATTGTCATAGCTTAATTGAACAAGCTAAAGCTAGAAGCTGATTGGCTACAATGCACAGCTGAACCAGATTCTGAGTGCTCCAGTTTTAGTAAATCTCCTCCCCCATTGTTGTTTTTTTTTTTTTTTTTAGCCATTTTCCTTTGTCCGATGACCGTTTTGTATTCTATGTACCCAGCAGGTGGAGCTGGCTTCTTTTTAGTTTCCCAGCTTCCTCTTGTAAAGAAGAATCTAGAAGTCCTAGAAAGAAATATTAGACTCATCATGTGCAATTGGTTCCTTTCTCTCTGTATAAGAGGCTAATAGAAAATTTTGTGAAACCAGAACTGTTGTTAGCTCCTTTTTTTTTTTTTTAACCCCTTTTACACCCTTGGCTAATTTTGTGTGTCCTTTTCCGGCAGGCTCAGTGGACAGCAATTGGATAGTCGGGGCAACTTTAGAAAAGAAACTTCCACCGCTTCCTCTGACACTAGCCATGGGAGCTTTCCTCAACCACAAGAAGAACAAATTCCAGTGCGGCTTCGGCTTGACCATTGGTTAACATCAGCTTCCACGCACGGCTTGTGGTCTCCCCTCTACACCTAGACATGTGGCCTCTCCCTCTGCTTTTCTGACTGCCTTCTCCCTCTCCCCAGTTTCTTAACTTGCCCTTCTACCCCAAAACTCCTGCCAGGCACATTTTTTTATGAACTTTATTTTATCACTGGGGTTAGGGAGGCAGTGAAGGAATTTCCTGATACCTAATGTAGGTACCTTGAGCGGAAGGGAAGCCATTCTTGTCTTGTCTCCTCTTATGAGGGACCTCGTGGTTGGGTAAGGTCTGAAGGAAGAATATAGCTTGTCTATAGCAACCAATCTGATTCTTCTTTCCATGTTTGAAGTATGGTATGGAATAGTAAGAGAACATTTGGTTGGTTGCTCTGTGCATGAACAGTTCTGTCGTCAGAGATATTGGATCACGAGGTCAATATTTTCCTTGGTTTGAGTGAGTTTTCTTTCTGTGTGCGTCCTGTTCAGTCTCAAGGGCTGCGTTCTCATTATTTTTATTTGTACCTTTTGATGCCATTAATGCAGTCTTCTCAACAACTCCATGTTATGAATGTGACTTGCCTTTCTCTGAGTGATGCCAAGGATGATTGATTTTCCCCATGTTGTCTGTGAGATCCACCATCTTGTTCCGTTGTGCTCTAGCTTATGACTTGTGGGGTAGGGAGGTGTCATGTCTAGGAAGAGGGTCTCCCGTGGGACCTGCCTGAGCCCTGTGTCCTCCTAGGCCTTGTGCTGCTGTTGGAGAGGGGAGGGAAGCTTCAGTCCTGGTGCCTCCTGACCTCTCTCTGTAGGAGCTTGGATGTAAATCATGTTTATAAGTTATAAAGAGAATAATGACACTGATCTTTTACACAAAACAGATGTGGAGCCCAGAGCGAAGTCATGACCGGGCATGTACAGCACCAATAAAGTGACTTCCGCAACGGGATATTTTTGTCTGTGTGGTTTATTTTATCATTTGCTGTCTTGACCTTTGGTTGGGGTAATACAGTGAAGGAAATAAGTATTTGATCCCCCGCTGATTTTGAATGTTTGCCTACTTACAAAGAAATGATCGGTCTAAAGATCGAATGGTAGGTGAATTGTAACACTGAGAGACAGAATAGCAACAAAAAATTCAAAAGAAATGCATGTCTAACAAATAATGACTGATTTGCATGTTCATGAGGGAAATAGGTATTTGATCCCCTTCACAAAACATGACTTAATACTTGGTGGCAAATCCCTTGTTGGCAATCACAGAGGTCAGACGTTTCCTGTAGTTCATGAGGGAAATAGGTATTTGATCCTCTATCATTCAGCAGGATTTCTGGCTACCAGGTGTCTGTCATACAGGTAACAAGCTGAGATTAGAAGCAGTCTCTAACCATTTCCATACCGGGCAATTTTACACCTTCCTGCCCAGGCCATTTTTCAGGTTTCAGCGCTCTCACACTTTGAATGACAATTGCGCAGTCATACAACATTGTACCCAAACTAAAATTTTATCATTTTCTTCACACAACTAGAGCTTTCTTTTGGTGGTATTTAATCACCACTGGGGTTTTTATTTTTTGCTAAATTAAAAAAAAAATTTTTTTGAAAAAAAACACGTTTTTCTTTTGTTTCTGTTATAAAAGTTTACAAATAAATTATTGTTCTCCATACATTTAGGCCGAGATGTATTCTGCTACATGTCTTTGGTGAAAATAACCCAAATTAGGATGTATTTTTTAGTTTGTAGGAAAGTTATAGAGTTCACAAACTATGGGATAGATCTGAATATTGATCAATCCTGAAGTACTGACGGCCAATCTAATTTCTTAAGGTCCAAGAATGTCAGAACAGTACAGATATCCCCCAAATGACCCCTTTTTGTAAAGTAGACAGTCCGACGTACTTCATAAGAGGCATGGCGAGTTTTTTGAAGTTTGTATTTTTTTTGTCATAATTTTTCGGAAAATGAAAAAATTAAAAAAATTATTTTCACTATTTTTTTTTTTTACATACGGTCACCAGTGCAGTACAGTGTCATCATATAACTGGCATGGCGGTGATCAGGGACACTGACTGGTGACAGTATGAATAAAATATATATTTTTTTATTATTTTTAATTTTTTTTTTTTAAGATTTTTTTCATATTTTACTATGACGAAAGTAGTACAATGTTTCCATAGTAACATTGTACTACTTTGGGGAAGTGATCAGTATTTTATCTGTTTAATTGATTTGGGGTCAAAGAATTACTTTGCTATAAGCAAGCATTTACCTGAATGACATCTATTCATTCAGGTTTTTTTTTTTTTTTTTTTTTTTTTTTTTTTGTGCTTAGCTGTGATTTGGCCACAGCTAATCACATGACATGTACATGTGACCATTCACAGCTAGACACTAGTATACAATGGATGGCATGAATGAAGCCATCCATTGTATACAACTGTCATGTGACCTGCTGTGATTGGTCACAGCAGGTCACATGGTACCGGCAACAGGGGCCGGTACTCAGATCTGTCATCAGCCGTGTCCGAGGTACACGGCCGGTGATAGATCGCGCCGCTGCGCGGCTCTGCAACTGCACGAACTGCGCATATGCGGGAGGACGCCAAATGGCGTACACCCCGGAAAGATAATGCATTTTTGCGGCCGCCAAACGGCTATAGGCCTGGCGGCTAATGGTTAAAGGGAGTGCTGCTGATCTCATTTTGTTACCTGTATAAAAGACACCTGTCCACAGGAGCAGTCAACCAATCAGATTCCAAACCCTCCACCATGGCAAAGACCAAAGAGCTGTCCAAGGATGTCGGGGACAAGATTGTAGACCTACACAAGGCTGGACTGAGCTATTATTATTCTTATTATTATACAGGATTTATTTAGCGCCAACAGTTTGTACAGCACTTTACAATATAAGGGAGACAGTACAATTACAATACATTTCAGTACAGAAGGAATAGGAGGGCCCGGCTCGTGGAGCTTACAATCTAAAGGAAGGGGGAGGTGATACAAAAGGTGATAGCTGCCAGGGATGATCTGATGGAGGTGACTCAAGTACAGTTCTTAGGTGGAGGTGGGGTAGGCTTCCCTGAGTGAGTTTTCAAAGTTCACCTAAAGGCAGACAGGGTGGGGACTGACCGGGCATACTGGGGTAGGGAGTTCCAGAGGATGGGAGAGGCTCTGGAGGTGAGCCTGGGACAAGGGAGCTAGAGGGCAAGATGTCTTGGGAGGAGCAGAGCGGGCGATTTGAACGATATCTGCGGATGAGGTTGGTGATGTAGCTAGGGGCAGTGTTGTGGATGGCTTTGTATGTTGTGGTTAGTATTTTGAATTTTAATACATTGGGCTATTGGATGCCAGTGAAGGGATTGGCAGAGAGGGGCAGAAGTCACTGGTCAGTTGGTAAGGTGTATGAGTCTAGCAGCAGGACTTTGAGAAATCTGCACTAATTTATGCACTGGTTTATATTATGGGCAGCACAGTGGCTACACAACTATCGCCTATTCTGTCTCTCAGTGTTACAATACACCTACCATTCGATTTATAGACTGATCATTTCTTTGTAAGTAGGCAAACATTCAAACTCAGCAGGGGATCAAATACTTATTTCCTTCACTGTACTTCTTAATGGCCTTAAAGAGGAACTACACTGTATCTGAGCACCACAATCCGAAAGCGCTATTTAATTAATCTTTAATGTTCTAAGCAAACTTCCCCATCCATCCATGTCTCAGTTCAAAACCATTAAATACAATATACTTTCCTATCTATTTACTAATGCTAGCAGCATAAGGATTCCAAAATAGTCAATGTTGATTGAGGAAAATTAGGTTTATCAAAGCACCTCTACAGCACTAGCTATGGAGCAGCCTTGTTTGAACAGGAAAAAACGTGTACATAGGAGCACCAAACCAAACAAGAAGAGGCCAAATTCATTTGTTGGTATTGTGCTAAAAAAACTTCTCACCTTGATTGCTCATGCAGATACTGCTGACCAGTAGTTCTCATCCAGCAATCTGCTTCCCTGCACAAAGGAAAGCCTTACTTTGAGTCCTTTCAATGTTCTCATTTTTTAACTGAAGCCCTTTTGAAGGGAGAGTTTATTTGACCCCCAAAAAGCATTGGCTGTCTCTTATACCAATACATGAATTTGGACTCTTTATCTGTTGACCTGGTACTTCACCCATGTATGCACATTTTTGGTAACCTGCTGGGGTACCCACTGGAGGGGCTAACCTTGTCTGTCATGAGCAGCCTAACCTGAGCCAGTGGGCTCTTCAAATGTTTTTGCCCTCTCACCACTTGTGAACTCCCAAAGTCCCAGTGCCTTATAGATGCCTTTTTTCCATTGTTTTAACATGGAGACCTGGAAATAATTTACAGGTCTCAGGGAGCCTTGTCAATAAATACTATATCTACAGCTTTTGTGGCATTAGCAGAAACAGTAAGTTGTAGTTCTAAGATAACCATTTGCGGACCAGCCATGTACATGGTATCATTTTTTAGAACCAACATCATTCCAGTATTGCTTTTTTTTTTTTTTTTTTTTTTTTTAAGCCAACGGTTGGCTTGCGTGTAAAAGCAGCAGGAGAGGATGTTCCACAAGCCCCCAACAGCCACGTCTCTCCCATCCCACCAGCTAACCGCCAAGGCAAACAGAGGCCATATTGCCTCTTCGATACAACAAACTGGAAGCAATGAGCATTCATCACTTCCAGTATCATTTTTTAGAACCAACATCATTCCAGTATTAGTTTTTTTTTTTTTTTTTTTTTTTTAGAGCCAATGGTTGGCTTGCGTGTAAAAGCAGCAGCAGGGGAGGATGTTCCCCAAGCCCCCAACAGCCACTCTCTCCCATCCCACCAGCTAACCACCGAGGCAAACAGAGGCCATATCACTTCTTAGACACTAGAAACCGGAAGCGATGAGCATTCATCGCTTCCAGCATCATTTTGTAGAACGAACATCATTCCAGGATTGCTTTTTTTTTTTTTTTTGAGCCAACGGTTGGCTTGCGT